AATAAAGGCTTTGTCTGCAGCGGTTTTGGATATTTTTTTTCTTTGTTTTTTTACGAAAGTGAGATAGTGCCCAGATTAGCAGGTTCACTTTTGTGTATCGATATCTGCAATCAAGCAGTTAGTGCTTGGATGTTTTACTATCCACGGAAAGTCAGCACACCTATAAAATCCCAAACAAACTGCTCGCGTAGTTGCATACCACAACTGGCAGGCGCTATATCAATGAGTACAAGGTATAGCGTGGATTGTGCCATCTTTCGGAGGAGATGTAAAGCCGTCGGTCACGAATCCATGGATGTTGGGTATTTATTCCTGAATCTCAGAGAGGAAAGAATGAGACAAAAATTCAAATTTTGTGCGTTGTAGATAAAGAGGAAAAACTGTTTTTTTATTTCCTCGAGTTCAAGAACAGCTACCTTTTGGGCTCGTTAAAGATCCTTACCTTCTGGTTAGAACATCACACGCAAAATTTCTGGTATTTGGCGATAGCATGCTCACCGTCGGTTTTTAAACCTCCCAGTTAGAAATAGACTGACGTTAAATAAATTATTAATAAAAGAAGGTAATATAAAATTTTGTATTTTGTGTCGGATTAAAAATTGAAAAAAAAAAATCCCGTTAGACATTTATATAATTTTTATTTTTGCATTGGCAACACTGTCTCAACGTGTTCCTGTGTTTGTTAGTATATTTTTATATCTGGGGTTGTTCGGTTACGGTATTTTTATAACATAGCGAATAATGGTGTACAAAATATTTTAAAATCTAATTTTTCAAAATTGTCTTTGTCCAAAAAATGTAATATTAAATATTTGAGAGGGCCTACTCCTGATTTAAAACTTACTCATGCAGACAAAAGGTTCATACCAGACGATTTTCAATTCAAGTGTAATAAAAAATAAAGTGGATATGTGTCTTAACGAATTAGAAATTTTTTTTAACGAATTTGAAGATAAATGTGACAAAACTATTATTTGCAGGTACACAAGCCGCCACTAATAAAATTAGAGGATTTAAGTACCTAAATAATGATGATGTATTTATATGTACAACACACTACACTAGCACAGTTCTACAGATTCTCCCTATTTATAGATTCAACGACTAATCCAAATAGAGATATTACGTTTTATAAATTATATTTAAAAGTGAGCAAAAATTGATCATTTAACAGGATAACATCACGATTATCAACAAGATGGGTAATGTCACCAACCTCGATTATTTTAAAATTAAACTTATTTAAATCGAAAAGGTAACATATTATGTTATGTACCTTTCCTTTAAAATTTGCCAAAAATCCCATTTAGAATACCTAATGAAGTTTTCTAGCTCCGAGATTTTGTTATACAGCTGACACGATAGCGTAGAAACCAGGGGCGGTTTCTCCATTGGTTCATTTGTGCAGTTAAATTTCATAAAAACACATTATTTTAATATTACATAAATAACATAAAAATACAAATTTAATTTTAATATTTTTATTCGATACGTGTTAATCTATATATTTTTGTACATCATTGTCCTCTGGCTGATCGCGTCTCTGTGTCACAGTATACCTAAGTATACTGTCTGTGGCGCATTATGATGAGTGAGCCTAACACGAGTGAGACGATATGCCGAATGCATATAGCTAAAAAGAGAAGAGAACACGCCAACAGATCCTTCAAACTGTCGAAGAACACATTAATTGGCGCGCCGCTCACAAATAAGGTTGCCAAACCAGTGTAGTACAATTCACAAATAGGTACGTTCGTTTGATATGTCTAAAGACACAGCATAATTTTGTAAATAACCATAGAAATAGAGTAAGGGTTATATTTTATCATTCCATTTCTTTTATTTTGCATAATAATTATTTTTCTTTAATTATATTTGACCATAAATATGAGACACGAGAAATTGGCTGAACACTAGTTTTTTTGGTCGTAATAGGTTGGCAACATTTTTCGTTAGAAATTTGTCAGTTGTATGATCGAACTGTCACTTAATTGTTTTTTTCGGCCCTTTCCGATTTGATTTTTGGAAGATGGCCGTTGCAATTTAGCTCCGCATTGTATTAAATAGTTTTGAGTAATAATTAGTTTCCGAGCTTTTTGTTTTGTCCAAGGGCCCCCGTGCCAATGTTAATGTTATTTTTATTTTGGATGAACCTGGTTTTTGATCAAAATCTGAGGCAAGTGAGACACCGAGAAATACTTTCTTCCACGTGTTGCTGGATCCCGGTAGCAGAGAAATCCCTCAAAAGAGGTAAGTCATTTCCTTTGCTGCTCCTGCATTTTCTTTGTCTTGCAAAACACTCATATTCTAATATATATAGGGTTCTTCCCGTGGATGAACAATAGAGCCACATGAACCGTGGGTGGTTATTCTCAGAAAGCTACAGAATGGAATTCTGTCTTGCCAATATGCTGGTCCGTTTTATTTACCCTGCGAAACAGAGATTTCCTTTTTATTTTAAACGTTCTTACGATGGTCCCGTGCCCCAAGTAGTCCTGTAACATGATGAGCTTCGGTGTACAGTGTGTAGCCTAACAGAGGGCTCTTTCTAGTGCCGCTGTCAGACCTATGGTATTTATTATTTTTTCTTTAATTTTAACAATATGTTCGCAATGTCTATTTAGACACTTTAGTTATATTTTGAAACGGGTGTTTCTTTATTTTCTGTATAATTTAGTTTTAAGAATACTTTTTGTTTCTTTTATTTACAACCAGTTTGTAAATATTATTTTGAGTACTCAAAACAATATACCTTAATTTTAACAAGACGTCTCGGATAGGTATAAATAAACCTTCTTATTTTATTATTCATATATTTCTTCAACTATTGGCGAATGAATTGAGAGGATATTCTCATTTCTATTGACTATAAATTTAACTGTTTAAAAATGAATTGATTATTTTCAATTATATTGTTTCTACCGTTTATAAAAAAAAAGTTTATAAGTGGATTGAGAAAATACTTCCAATTTTATTACTTTTAGAGTTTGATTTATCAAATGAATTAGGTTACTAACTGTTAATATATCATTATTTCTCTTTTGAGCAAAGAACGTTTGTATAATTTAATGCTCATCGAACAAATTGAGAAAATATTGTTAATATATCACTTTCATTTATTTTTCTATTACATTCAATTTAAATTATGTATGACTTTTATTTCACAGAATATTATAGGTTTACTTTGTCTGTCTGATGTCACGTTTTTTGTCTGCACGATAAGTCAAAAACTAGAAATGATATGAACTTAAAAATTTTAAGCAAAAATCAAGCTCTATAAGGGGACAAAGCCTATTGATTTTTAACAAATCTGATTTAAAATAGGAAGTTAAGATGGGTTGAAATTAAAGAAAATCTTAAATTAAAAACGAAAAGTAATATCAATATGAAATTTTTAGTAAAAATGAAGCTTTATAAGAAGATAAAGAAAGAAGATACTGAAAAAAATATGAATATATTGCCAGGCATTATATATCTTTATTCTAGTTTGTGTGTAATATTATGTATTGTGATGGGACTGATCTTATAAAATGAACATTTAAAACATTTTAGTTCTTACTTTATTTGCCAATAAAAGGTATTTAAAAAATATATTTTTTGACATCTATGACAAATTGTGAAAATGATTAAATTTACAATAAAAATGGTATGTAAAGTTTCATATAAAATTTTATACACAAAAATCAATGTCAAGCTTTCTACATAACCTGATATATTTAAAAATAATTTCAAATTATGAAGAAAAGTTAGTTTACTAACTAATAATGTTTATGGATGTAGTGCTTGAAAACAGTATGATGTTGATAATAATAACTACACTTAATACAAACTCAAATAATAAAAAAACAGCGATATTGACTCTTGTACAAAGTTTTGATCTGAACTTACATATGATAAAATTATTGGAAAAGTGAACACCCATTTTAAATTATCACGAGCTGCCACTGGTAGCAACAAATGCTAAAAATGAAATGTGAGATGCACATAACCCTTAAATAATATGGAGACGTCGAAAAGTAAATGTTTCTAAAGTAGATTGTGAAAAAAGTCAATCGGACTGAAAAAACAGAAGGCCTGGGGGCCCTTTTATTGTATATCCGACACTGTCACCTCTCCAAATATGTGAAAAGTATACAATAATAGAACGTATTTGGACCTTATATAATTATAGCAAAACGATAGATAACTACAATATATGTATTTATGATATTTGAAGAGTTCAATGGTCATGTTTTTCTTTCCATGACTGCTAATGGAAGAATGATTTGATAATTTGCACTATTTATCAATAAAGTTTTATAAATGTTCAATCGTAATTCATTCATTTTTCAGAATATTTTAGTTTCTATAAATTACAAAAGTATGTTTAATAAATTTTATTTTCATGCATCATAAAACATTATGTATTGGAATTGTCAGAAATAGAATCCTTAATGGTTATTTTAAATAAATATTACTTTGCATACAATTACGAAACTCTTCAAAGTTGTTCTGCAGGGAACAAATAATTGTCAATTAATTTTGTATCAATAACTTGTTTCTATATATTCAATGCTGTTTTCGAGAGCATCATTCACGTGGAAATATCTTATTGATTGATGCCGGTAACTATGTTGTTTCTCTTTTTCTGAACTTTAAACGGATATTTGAGACAATTATTAATAAAAAATACATTCATAAAAAATATATTATGGTATTGGGCGTAAAGTAAAAGTATTGATTAATTTGAAGGTTTTTAAACTGATAAATGACTAAAATGGATAGATTAACTTCAAATAACCATTTAAAATTAATCAGATTCTCGTTGAACAATTATTATAATTATTGGGATACAAAAATTATTAGTATTTTTATTGAGGTGATTGTTTATTGTACAAATATCAGATCCTTCTGGATATAAATTATTATTATTAAAATAAAGTTATTTACAAATTACCATTTTTACAATTTCTTTGATTATTAAAACCTTACATATAATTAGACAACAATAATAAACTAACCTGGTCCATGCGTATGACTCCTTCGGCAAGTGTTTTAAAACCTAACATTGTGCGATTCTTATATCTCTTCCGCCTCTGAAGCAGAATGTGGAGTTTGTTTCCCTCTCTTTTTAAAAAATGGGGGTACTGAAGACAAAACGTAACATCTAAAGGGGTATCCAACAAGCCACCCTGTGTCAAGACCAGTTCATTGGACCTCAATGTTCTTTTACTGGACTGCATTTTAACTGCTATTGAAACTGTAGCTGGAGATTCAGAACCAAGAGGTCTTAATATTACTAACCTTGTTAGTGTGAGGGAACATAGCCTGAAAATAATATACAATGAAGGATAAAAGTAGGAGACTTTTTTAGGAATCTGTGCGAAACACACAGTAAGTGTAAAAAATATATAGTGCTACTTTAAAGTTCATTCTCCATGGTATATTTTAAACGGTTATACTTAATGAAGTTTGGAGAGGGAAAATAAAGCTTCTCTACTACTGGTAACAAGACCACTGTGACCAATTACTTTAAATGGGACCTTACGGCAAGTGAAACCTCGTTTGAAAGGCATTTAACATACTTAAATTTTGTTTGGATTTAGGGTAATTTTGATGGATAAACTATATAAAGACAAAAATTATAGTTTCGAATTTAATTAATGAAGATTCAAAAATCCGCCTGATTAACTGTCAAAAAATGTGACGTTTTTATTTCTCAAAAAGTATCTAAAGCACGATACACAGACTAACGGTATGTTCCTGCGCATGCAGCTGACTGACGGTGACGTCACGTGGGACATACAATTATAAGCATTAAATGGGAGATAGTGTTTAAAATTCGATATTTTCCCAATTTTAGATTTTATGCAGTTACTTAAGCTTTATTGGTTATTTTGTAATATATTCGTTTACAAATATGAAGGTTTAAGGTAAATAATACTAATAAAAATATTAATTTTTCTCATAAATTATAGGTATCCATAACATGGCCATAAGATAAGTAAACGATATAGACTTAAAATACAAGTTTGACTCAAATTTGTACTTTCTGGGCGTAGTAGTTCTCTTGCAATCTCTTTTCTTATTATGTGAAATAAAAATAAGTGTGCAGAAACAAATAATTTATTTACAAAAAGTAAGTACACAAAAACATTACTTTTTATTTGGTAAATTTAAACATTTTTGGTCATGTTTACTTTAAAAATACCCAAAACCAATTTTCCTGTTCATTTATCTTATTTTTATATATGTTCGTGTCCTGCTCATGCATGGCATTACTTCAAAAGGACCGTTGTATTGGGACAGGAAACTACTGTTTTATCTGTTAAAATTTTTAAATGCCGATTTATTTTCTTTGCTCAATGAGGCCCGTGCACCTGGTGGAATTCAGTTTCCTTTTCTTGCGTTTATGTTTAAGAGGAATCTCACAACTACTTTCCTCCAAATAGATAGGGCAATTTCAATTAAGTTTGTCCTTTCTTCGATAAGAATTTACACATATTTTGTGGCATTCGGAAATATCTCCACTGCTCAGCCCGACATGCTAAACATTAGTTTAGTTCTTCCCTGTAATATATAGGAAAATATAGTCACTACTAACACAAAAACATAATTATTAAATTATTTTACACTACTCAATCGAAAAGTGTCAAAATAACTTGAAAGTTCGTCCCGCATTACGTCATGCGCGGTTTGGACGAATTTTGAATCGAAAGTCAGCATACCTTTAGTATGTGTATCCTGATCTAAAGTATCTAAACAGTACTGTATATCTAACCTAACACAAACAATTGTAATGAGAAAAAAATATAAAAAATAGTAAAAAAAGGAAAATCACTACAACACCACGGGACGATACGAGTAAAACTTAGTCGTTAGGGATTACTAGTCTCTTTTAGCGCTAAAATATTACAATTAAGTATATCACAGTCTGATTAAAATTTATTATAGTTCTTGCACAAGCGATCAATAAACGGACTTTGTCCGTAATTGGTTCTGTATCTTTTTACGTACAAAAGTGATGTGTGTCGAGTTCGTCGGGCAGGAACCAATAGTTGAACTCTTTCAAGTAGTGACCCGCACTTGATAGAACCACCTATTATTTTTGCCAGGAATAGGAGTAATGCCTGTTTCCTTCTACATTACAAGCTCTGCATGCCACAAAGTAATAACTTTGTTTAATAGCATATGGAATCGGTGCTTAAAGAGGTATCTTACGAATTTATATTGTACCCTTTCAATTCTATTGATATGACAGATGTAAATAGTTTGCCAAATAATAGAACAGTATTTCAGGACACTTCTTACCAGGCCATTGTAGTGTCATGATTGCTTTTGTGTAGTTCACGTATATAGTAAGTCTTTTAATGAAGCCAAGCATTTAGAGAGTTTTGCATACTATGGAATCTATGTGGCTGTTAAAAGATATCGTGGTACCAAAAATAATACCCAGATCAATAACTGTCAAGGAACTATCTAAGTCGATGCTGTCAATACTGTAACAGGAGTAGCATAATGGAATCTTGTAAAATGCATGGTTACTTTTATAGGAAGAGTGTTATTTTTACACGTAACAAGTATATTTTAGTCAGAGTGTAAGGCGGAAATATTGACAGTGTTTCTACTAAATATCTTAAAATGATCTGTGAAAAGAAGGCATTGACTATTAAAAAAACAGTAGGTAAAATCATTAAAAAATAAAGGACCAATATCTGAACCTTGAGGAACACCGGACAAGACTGAAACGTCACATGAAACGGAATTATGTCCTATGACATCGATGGCTCAATCAAATACTGCCTCATTAAAATACTATTGTTTCGAGAAATTTCATTTTGAAGTCTCTATTATCATTATTTTGTTTTTGATATAAAATCTTTATATTTTATTTAAAAGCTTCGATATTTTGCTTTTAGAATTATCGATTACAATTATAAAAGCGAATTATTGCATAGTTTGTAAAAAATTTGGGTGTTTTTGCAGAAAATAACTCGAATTGAGGCAGTTTTAGACACAGTTTGTGGCTAGATTTTAAATGATTTTCGGGCATTTTTAAGGATATAAAGTAAAACCTTAATGATATTTTGCATCCATTGAACAAAAATGTAATTTTCATTGTTTTTTGACATGTGGCGGTTTTTAATTGAGCCATCGACATATTAACACCGTTTACTTAATTAGATTCAATCTAGTAAAGATAAGAACCAGAGATGCCGATTTCGGAGTTTCTTAAGGAGCAATTCATTACAGATACTGTCAAAAGTTTTTGGTATAAACTGGAAAAACTTTCAAGCAGAGCGAAATATTCCATTATCAAATAATTTTTGAAAAATTTGGCAAAGTGGAATTGACAAAGAATCACAGCAACCTTTCAAGAACGACGGTGGTACACCTTCAGGACCCGTGATTTTGCTAGAGTCAAGACTTTTAATTTTAGAAAAAACTTCACAAGGAGTGAAAATGTGGATGGCTAAAGTGGAAAAAATAAAACAAGTGGAAGATCAATTTTTCTGTTTATGTCATCTTTAAAGTAGCACGTTTGGAAATGAGATGCGAAGGTGTTTGCAATTTTTTCAGGATTACTGAGTACATAATTTTTTTATTAGTTGAATGGCTGTGGTAGGAACCAATTAGCAAGACTTTGGAGTTAATAGTTTCCATACTTCATTAAATTAGGCAAACCGTAATCCCGCTGAATTTCCAACAACAGTGTCGACTAAAAATTAATAAAGGCAAACAAATTGATAAAGCTGCCGAAATGGTAGCAAACCCCACTTCTTCCACAGCCCAATTTGCGTCTACTTGTGAAGTCACTCAAAGTACGCTGGATGTTGACCAAAAACAAATTTTACCCATACAAATTAAAAATAGTGATCAATCTTTAGATGACAATCCGGCCGAAGTCTGAAATTTTGTGAAAATACGTTCGCTAAAATTGGCCAACAGCCAGACTATGTAAAAACATTTTTTTACTGACGAAAGTGGTTTTTTCCTCAGTGGAGATGTTAACAATCAAAATGTGAGGTACTAGAGGTACTGTAATGACACAAACCCTCACATGTTTCGTGAAAAACAATAAAAACATACACAATTTCTATCAAAAGTAAATGTAAGGGCATGTATTTTGGGAAATTGGGTCTATTTTTTTTTATTCTAACTTAAATGGTGAAGTGTATTTGGAGATGTTACAAAACGTATTGACCTTTTATTCTTGAAATTCTGGATGACAATGCACATGAATCTGGTTACTTGGAAATAACGTTCCACCACGATGGTGCTCTTACACACTATTATGGCCCTTATCTAAATGAGAAATAGCGTGGTGGATGACGAGGTCCGATAGAATAGCCAGCTCGGTTTTGAGAGGGCTTCTTAAATCTCAAGGTTTACACTACAGTTTCCAACAGTATTTACGTTTTAAAACAACGAATTGTTAAAGAATGTAGGGCAATTTCAGCTGACACTGTAGTGATGCCGCGAGACGAGAGATTCTCGTCTCTCGTCTCGTCTCGAACGAGACGAGAAAGACATTTTTTTTTTCTTGAAAACAGATACGAGACGAGACGAGAGAGTGTCATCTCTCGACGAGAATTTCTCGTTTCTCTCGAGCTCTCTAGGGCTTTTTCGAACAATTTGCTTTTTGCTTATTTGAAATTTTCAACATACTTGTGTTATCAGGATTTTATAAATAGTGAATATTTTTCATTTCATTTATTTAAAATTTATACAATCATTTCTTATATTTAACCCATTCTGCTTTTCTGAGATTACTTTTGAAGATAAGTTGAAATTTTTTTTCGAAAAACTGTCAAAGAAAAAAGGTAATACAAACGAATGTATTATATACAGTGAGGACGAAAATTGTACCATTCACTATTTTAACTTCTAAATGAAAAAAGATAATGACAAAACAAAAACGAGGTAAAACTCAAGAGATATAATATTTTTGTTATAACGAGATGCACTTTACTTGGGATACGTAAAATAGAGGGAGTTACTAGCTTTAAATTTTCTAATGGAAAGTAGGGTCATTTTATACCTCATTTGAAAGATATTTTATATATTTTTACGTTCATGTAAACTGATTAAAATTTTTATGTTTTTACAGAAATTACATTAAATAAATTCATAAAGTAGGGTAAATTCTTTTTTTTTTTATTTACCGCTTCAACCTCAAAAGATCATTACCGGAGGTATAATACCTTATAAATGGTCCTTTTTACAATAATATACAATGGATAATTAACATTTTAGCTAGTACACAGTAAATGTCAGTATCTTATTTAAGTAATTTTTTACTGTTAGAGGGATTTAACACTGCACAA